AAATTTCTCGAGCGGGCAGATTCAAGTACCGGATACAAATTTAATTTTTTTAGGCGGTCACAAACAGTCTATCTAAACTTACAACACTAACATCTAAACGATATTACATCCATTTGATGCCTTTCTTTTAGCTTTCAACATATTCTCATTTCGGGTGTCAATAGTTTGATGTGCATCTCGATCTTCTTTTTTTTTTCTCTCTTAGGTGACTATATAGCCAGCTTGTCCAATATTTAAGAATGAACAACGTTTCTTTGCTAATAGTATCGACAATAATAATAACTAAAACAAAAAAAAAAAAAAAAAAAAAAAAAAAAAAAAAAAAAAAAAAAAAAAAAAACAAACAAGAACAACATTGTTTTCTGAAGTGGTTACAGTAGTCAAGAAAACCATCATCTGTTGTCCTTCTAAGACAAGTCTTCTCGAAAAGACAGAGAAAGATCTTTACGGCCAATAACAAGTCTCTTTGTCAGACAAAATTATTATCATCCACTATCATAGTATGTTAATTCCACATTTGATACAAATCTACTAGTTTATTCATGCAAAATTCTCCTAAAAATGTTGGAATTTTTTTTTTTTTTTTTGCGAATAATAATCACAAGCACACAGATATTTAGTACAAACAATGAGGGCCAACCAAAAAACAAAGGCATATCTGTTTAGGTGCAAAGAACCTTGAGGCAGATATTATAACAATGGGCAAAAGGTGGGCTATAGAAAAGTGAAATGAACTTGATCACATGATAAGTGTCAACCTATCTGAGAAAAAGTGTTGTGAATGATCCTAAGGTAGAGAGATCAGTAATGTCCTGGAGGAAAAAGTTTGGATCTTTTTGATGCCCCTTTGAACCAATACAATTGGGATTGCAATATTGGGATGTTTGATTTGGCCAAGTTTGTACTTATACCTGACATCACTTTTCACTAACCAAAGGTGAAGAAGACTTAAAACACGTACAAATGAATTATGAGTGGCAGAAACACGTTCTCCTTATTTTGGGTCCATTCGGAGTCCAAACACTTCTCTTTGGTACCACGGTTATTTTTTTTAATAGATAATGTGAGATTGAACATGTGCTTTCGAAATTTAAATGTTACTGTATCTTATCTCATGTCGTTTAATATAATAGTCATTCACTTCTCTTTAGCACTATTGGAACCATTAATATGTTATCTAATAAAGTAATCCAATGTAATTCACATTAAAGTTTAACCAATTCACAATATTGCATGATTATACCTATAATATATTTTATGGCGTTAAGTATCACTAGTACTCTAGGTTTTTTTTTTTTTTTTTTTTTGAGGAGATCAACGATGAAATCCCAACACGCCTTTACACGTCAAATGACGGGAAAAAAATAATTCCTGAAAAATTGAAAAAAAAAAGTAATAATTGTAAGTTATATTTAGTTTTCTTTTTCTTTTTTTTTTTTTGGTTCTTCTCTTATTGCGTCATCATTACATAATCTGCGTTGCTTTTCCCTTTTGTCTAAAGTGGGTTGGGATTCAGTGCAAGCCTTATGGTTAATGAATAAGAAAATGTTCCCCGAAACCAAAAAAGAGAAAAATGAAAGAAAGAGATTTCTTTTCTTTTCTTTTTATTTTTTTTTTAAGAAAAAGAGGTTAAAAATATCCCACTCCCTCTTAACATTAACGCGTTAAATCAATCAACTAAAGCATATCAAATTGATGATTAAGTTTAAGAATTCTAGCCATCACCAAACCGAAAAGCAAGAAAACAGATAAAATGTGCTTCCCGATTGGGTCACTCCCTAGCATGATTATGCAAGTGGGCAGAAATAGCGGGTCCATAGCCTTATCATATGCGAGTCTTGTAAAACTTTTTAAACCTCTGTATTTGCCACATTAATGCGTATAATATATCATTAGCTGTCGCTCTCACTTTAGATTATTAAGTAATAATAAATGTTTAGTAGAATACGCTTGTCTAGAATGGAAAATGGAACACATGAAGGAAACATATTGTGGGGGTGGTGGCCGACCTTCTCAAAGTTTCAACTTAAAAAAATAGTTACCGCTTTATTCCGAATCAATCAGTATTTATTCCTTTTGTGCTTCTCATATGCATGATGATCCAAAGAAAAAACTGACATCACCCGTCATAATGGATATTAAAATTCATAAATAATAATAATAAAAACAGCTAAAGAAAAAACCACGCTGATCTCTCTTAAGAAGCAACTACTAACTATTGTCGTTGCTCATTGATGTAATTATGAACATTTGATGTGATTTTTTTGGTAGGAACTTCAAAGAATTCGTTTTCTGGGGGATTGCTTTTGCAAGAAAATGTGACTATAACAGCATTAGAAATATTAACCGTGTTTGAAATTGATCATATTTTTATTTTTTACATTTTTCAAAAAAAAAAATGAAAACGTTTCTAAAACGACGTTTGACGTAACGAAGATAAAAAACAGAAATAAAAATGATTTTTTAGTTTAGTATAAAATGAGAGAGAAATGAAAAATAACTTTTAGTCGTTTTTTTTATTTTTTGTTTTCGTTTTCTCCTCTTTCGAGGAGAGAGAGAGAAAGAGAAACATTAATAGGTTTTTTACACTGAAAACAATCTCTTGATAAAATTACCAAACGCATTTTTAAAAATAATTTATGTCTGAGATTGAAAAAGTTTTCATTTTCATTTTCATACAAAAAATAAAATTATTTTAAAATGAGTTCTAAACGCGTCCATTGTATTTGTATTTAGTTACTTTTTTCTCAATTTTATTTCGTTTAGTTCACTGATTCGAGTTTTTAATTCGAGTTGAAATGTGACTTTATGTGAGAGCTTTTAATTATAACAGAAAAAATTAGATATAACTTTTTATAAAAGCTTTTAACTGTAGTAAAATTAAAATTAAAAACTCGAATCAGTGAAATAAATGAGTCCTGATAAAACACACAAAAGAATAACATACAAAATTTACGGACTGATCCATCACAACTTGTGTGTTTCTTTCCAAAAAAAAAAAAAAAAAAGGTACTAATGACACCAGAGAAAATAGAACACTGATGAGAGGAAAAACAACTAGCTAGTATAAGCAGTAACTCATTTACCACTCACCAACCCAATTGTACAATGCCCTGAAAAATCAGCAATTCTGTACCAAAATTATTGATTGCTCATGCTCAAACCATACGGAGTAGGTGGTTGCATTTAATGATGAAAATCTACATGTAACCAAATTTCTAAACACCAACTTGCAGGAGTCTTTCCAGCCAAAAAAAAATAATAATAAATTGCAGGAGTCTTTTCTCGAGCCAGGGAGGGAGAGAGAGAGACCAATTTGTAAGAAATATGGTTATTAGAATTTCAAGTAGTGATGGCAATCTTGTTCATATTTCCCCTACAAAGTAGAAGTACAGAAGCCTGCCAATGACAACACTCCACGTGGTGAAGTTGCCACCAATATAATTGGAAGTGTGCAATATGACATGTCTTTTTGGGTATATTGGACAAAAGGGCGAATCAAGATTTGACTCTGATCCCAATTTTGGATGAAGATGAGGTTTAATTTCAAGGTTTTTTTTTTTATTTTCAATAAGATTCAACGGTCTGCCAATAATGTAACCGCACAATATGTTAAAAGAGTCAAAAGGTTAGTTAGAAAGTAAACCAAATCTGAACAGCTGGTTTTTAAAAAAAATAAAAAATAAATCCCCTGTTTGACAACTTGAATATTTGTACGAGTTTTAGAGAAACATTAAAAACCCCACTTCCACGTTCAGATCCTGGAAAGGTGGGCAGTACAGTTTGCACCACCAATAACTTCAATCTTAGACTCAGATCAGTATATTTCTCTGCCTGCAATTTGCCTGATCGCGAGGCTACAAAACTATATATTATTCTTATCAGTTATCACATAGTTTACCATATAATATCATATGTGCATTCAGACATATTTATATTTGGAAAAATGTTATTATATTATAGGAGGTGGCATCCCAAGTAAAATGTGAAAACAAGCTAAGAAGTCGCAGTTTTTGGTGGGAGAGAAAATGTTATTTAAAACCTCGACGCAAAACAGGATACTCGAGGCATAATAAAATATGTTTTAGTTAAAAAAAAAAAGTCAAAAGTCAGACAGCACTCAGCAGCGAGTTCTCTTGGTTGTCGTTATCTGTATTTGGTTGTCGTTTTCTCTATTTTTCTTTTTAAATTTGGCGATCTTTGAACGACGTTTTTGGTATTTGAAACTTGGCACCATATTTCATTTCGTCTTAATTTTTGCTAATGATTTCATTTCGTCTTAATTGTTCACACGTTAATTGTTATTGGGTAGTTGAAATCAAAGAAAACAACGGTTCATGCCCATTGGAAGAATATGTAACATACTTCATAGTTCACACCTTCACGCAAAGGAAAATATTGGACACGTTTGTTTCCGTTTTTGAAAATGTTTTTCACATTTTCTGATGAGCAAAAACGGAATTGCTGAGAGAAACAAAAGAAGAGAGAGAGATAGATAGAGAGACTCACAGGCATGGATTTTTCTGTTGGTGAAATTTGAGATTCAATTATTTTAAATATAATTACATATTTTTAAAAATAAAATTACTAAATGTAATTTTAGTTTTTTTTAAAACTGAAAATAATTTATAAATAAAATTATCAAGCATATTTTTAAAAATAATTTTAAAATATAAATATAAATGTTTTTATTTTTATTTTTATATAAAAAAATAAAATTATTTTAGAACGAAAACATATATTGATATTGACGTTTGAATTATGGCCACCCATAGAAAAATCAGACTTTTTAAAGCCGCACTTGAAAAATAAGTGGGGAGATAATCTTTTGTCATCAAATAGACAAATACTAACTTCTAGCGCAAAAAAAAAGGACAAATACTAACTGGTCAAAATGCGCCTCAGTTTTTGGTCGAAAAATTGGAGCTTCTACGTTATCAATCTCACCGGTCAACATACTCATTCATTAAATAAAAATCCATATAATTACGCTTCCAATTGATATAATTCAATATTCAATGTTCTCTATTCACTGTTTTTGTTTTCACACCTCGTTTTACATATTTGGAATCTGAAAATAAAATTAAAAAAAAGGAAAAAAAAAGAAAAAAAAAAAGAAGAAAGAAAGTCAATGAGAATCATATTAGCCTAGTTGGAAAAAGCCCCGGAGATACTCTCTTATATAAGAAGATCCCTCTTTTTGGGAATCTATCCCCTTCTTCTATTTTCGTGTAATAACAAAATCAAAATTTTTTTTTCTCCGTTACTCTCCCACGCTCTCTTCTTATATGGATTATAAGCTACAGATCATCGTTCGAACAAAAGGCCAAACACAGTTTTTAGTATAGTATTTCCTGTCTCTACTTCTAGATTTTCACAAAAAAGAAACAGGAGTGTCGTTTGTTCGTTTGTTCTATAACTCCATTATTCGATGGTTATGGAAGCGCGGCAAAAGCCACTGAGTCGACTGAACGCGTTCGTCGCGAACAGCCGAGTCGGGAAGCGATTCAAACTCGCCGAGCGGAACTCCACCTTCACGACGGAGCTCCGTGCAGGAACGGCGACTTTTCTGACGATGGCGTACATCCTGGCCGTGAACGCCTCGATTTTGGCCGACTCCGGCGGCCCCTGCGGCGTCTCCGACTGCGTCCCTCTCTGCTCCAACTCATCCGTCTCCATCGCCTCCTGCAACGGCCCGAATCTCCGGGTCATCCAACCCAATGAGTCCTGCAAGTTCGATCCGGTCAACCCGGGCTACGCCGCCTGTCTGGATAAAGTCCGGAAGGACCTGATCGTCGCCACCGTGGTGTCCTCCCTCATCGGCTGCGTGATAATGGGAATCTTCGCGAACCTTCCACTCGCCCTCGCCCCCGGGATGGGGACCAACGCCTACTTCGCCTACACCGTGGTAGGATACCACGGATCCGGCAACGTCTCCTACGAGAGCGCCCTAACCGCCGTCTTCATGGAAGGACTAATTTTCCTCCTCATCTCCGCCGTCGGATTCCGCGCCAAGCTCGCCAAGCTCGTCCCTAAGCCCGTCCGGATCAGCTCCTCCGCCGGCATCGGCCTTTTCCTCGCCTTCATCGGACTCCAAAACAACCAAGGAATCGGACTCGTCGGCTACAGCTCCTCCACCCTCGTCACGCTCGGCGCGTGCCCGGCCTCCTCCCGCGCGTCGTTGGCTCCGGTGGTGACTTCAGCAAACGGAACGGTCACGCTCCTCGAGGGAGGCACTGTGTCGGGAGGAATCCTCTGCCTCCACAACCGAATGGAGAGCCCCACATTCTGGCTCGCCATCGTCGGTTTCGTGATAATCGCTTACTGCTTGGTCAAAAACATCAAAGGAGCGATGATCTACGGGATCGTGTTCGTCACGGCGGTGTCGTGGTTCCGTAACACGAGCGTAACGGCGTTCCCCGACACTCCCTCGGGAGACGCGTCGTTCCATTACTTCAAGAAAATCGTTGACGTGCACACGATCGAGAAAACGGCGGGGGCGTTAAGCTTTAAAAGCATAGGGAAAGGGTATTTTTGGGAAGCTCTGGTGACGTTTCTGTACGTCGATATACTCGACACCACCGGAACATTGTACTCCATGGCGCGTTTCGCCGGATTCGCCGACGAGAACGGCGATTTCGAGGGGCAGTACTTCGCCTTCATGTCGGACGCCACGTCGATAGTGGTGGGGTCGCTTTTGGGCACGTCACCCGTGACGGCGTTTGTCGAGTCGTCGACGGGGATAAGAGAAGGAGGGAGGACGGGGCTGACGGCGTTAACGGCCGCGGGCTACTTCTTCTTGGCGTTCTTCTTCACTCCGTTGCTGGCGTCGATTCCCGCGTGGGCGGTTGGCCCGCCGTTGATATTGGTCGGGGTGCTGATGATGAGATCGGTGGTGGAGATTGATTGGAATGACATGAGGCAGGCGATCCCAGCGTTCATTACGTTGATTTTGACTCCGTTGACTTACTCTATAGCGTACGGGTTGATTGGTGGAATTGGGACGTTCGTGGTGTTGCACGTATGGGATTGGAGTGAGGAGCTTTTGGTGAGATTTGGGGTCGTCAAAAAAAGATCAGTGGACGGTAATGGTGTTGGTGAGGCAAATGGGTCATCACAACATCATCATCATTCTACTGAAGATGTTAAACCACCTGAAGTTTAGGGGCAAGTCTAGATTATTTTGAGATTTTTTTTTTGAATTTATTAGTATAAAAATTTGCCCATTTTTAGGGAGATTATTATAAATCTTGGAATTTTTTTATGTAGGCAATTGGGTGAGGAAAATGGATTTCATAAAGAGCTGTAAATACACAAAATATTTCACTTCAATGATGCTCTAATCAGTGTGGAAAAGCTTTTGTAAGTTATGATTTGGTCATATATTGGTGGCCGTGTATTGGTCAATCACTTGGTCTAAATTCTGCTTGTCTGGCGAGTATTACACATAGACTAGCTAGCTTGACAACAAATAGAGATCTATCCAAATGACGGAGCAGAAATGGGATTTTTAACTGAATGGCTTTGGGATATTGATAGGGATGTAACAAAACATGTCATGAGATTTGTCATTATTTCACAATATCCCATATATTTGTCATGATGAAACCTTAGAATTATTTGAGAATTGGGATAACAACACATACGCTTCCTTAACAAAAGCCTAAAGAGATAGACTCGTGATTGGTCCTGTTGTCAATGTTGGTTGCTTTCTGCTCTTGCATTTTCTTAACGTAACTTTGTGAATCTGAAAAAGAGAACCATTGGGATTAATGCATTGTGCTTGGTCCACTCTATTGAAAGCAACAAGTCTTGGGATTAAGTAAGAAAATAAAGGGTATTTTTACACATTTGCCCGGTAAACTTATATGGTTTCAGCAATTTACGTCATGAATTTTTAATTTTAACAAGTTGTCCTTTTAATTTGTAAAGTTGTTACAACATGTCCCATTTTTACAATAATTATATTCAATTAGTTTCGAAAAAGCACGTTCGACAAAAAATTTTAACATCTTGATTCAAATGTGACATAAATCTGTTAATTTATCAACTTTTAATCCTTTAAATCTAAAAAAAAAGAGCAAATTTAGTTAAATAGGACATATTGCAATATTTTTATAAGTTCGGGGGGTTCATTATCAAAATTAAAAGTTTAGGGAGCAATTTGCTAAATCACGACAAGTTCGGGAGACAATTGTACTAAAAACTCGAAAATAAAACCCAACTTGTTGCTATCTTAACTAGAATATATATTTCAAAATGTATAAAATTCTAATAACTGAACATTTATGTATACAATATAAAATAGTCGCCTTACTAGATTTATATTTTGAACTAATTTTTAATGGATTAACGTATGTTTTTTTTTTTTTATACTTTTGTACATGATTAAAATTACATTAAAATTAAAAAAATAAAAAAAATTAATTTTTAATATAAAATTTGACGATTAAAAAATAAAGACGTACCTCGTTACCAACTTTCAAATTCCTTCAACTACTGGCATAATAAACAATATAAAAGTAGGAAATAATTGAAGGGGTAACTTTTTATCTGCCACGAGAGTATAAAAAAAAGAGAGTGATTATTTAACTACTCGCACTAGCCATCTATTGGGCAATTAGGATAAAACCAAATCAAGATCGGATTCGGTATTGGAAGCGGCTCTCGAGGTTTGAGTTAAAGATTGTGGATTTGGAACACCACAATGTGGGTTTTTATTTCACACCAAAGAAAGTCACAGCTCACAAAGTTCCATTAAGGGGACCATATCTCAAATAAGCAGGCAGTATTTAGTGGGGAGCTAAGAGCACAAAGCATATGAAGACCAAACACTTGGCCTCTTTGCTATATATCATAAGTGGGGAATTAACTGATTCATTCAAAACCACCAAAATTAAAAGCGTTAATGAATCAAGGGGTTTTTGTTTTTGGCATAAGAAATTAGTAATGTGCATTTTTATGCCTAGTTACGTACTTACAATAATTATTCTACTATCAATGATAGTGTTAGAGCTAATATAAATATTTGTTTCCGTATAGCTTGGACAATTGACACATCATTATTATTCTTTTTGTTACTAAATGATCATGATGGCCATATATAATTCTGCAGTGAAAAGAAATAGAAATGAAAAAAGTTGGGGGGAGGGATGAGAACATATTCTTGGCGCTGGTTCAGTGTTGATTTGACATGAAACATGGTGCATGTGTCCTCTATTATTTCTGATTAGTTTTGAAAATCCTCTTAAAAGGCATCAAAAGCAAAACACTTCTGGTCCACTTAAGAAATAACAACCAAACTTAGTAAATGTCTTGATGATAATAATAGGGACACATATGCAGGTTCTCTTTGTGAAATGACACCAATAACAAGATGTACACGTGGCACATAGATGGTTTGTTTCCAAACCCACCACCTGTTTCCTATAATTAGTGGCCATAGGATAAGAATTAAGAAATGTGCTTATAATTTGTGAGAAAAAAAAAAAAAAAAAGTAACAAAGCTATGTAGTCGCTTTCTACTTTTAGTATTATTGCAAGTTTCGTTACAGTGTACAGATTATAGATAATGCCTGTAACGCTATTAAGTGGGGTTAGTGACTAATAAAAATTAAATAAGATAAAACAAGATTTAACATTTAAATAAATTCAAAATTAAGAAAATAACTGTTGCTCCGGAGACTTTTAAAAATAAATGTAAAACAAAATAAAAATATTTTTAAAAGAACGATAATTTCAAGATAAAAATTTTAAATATCGCCGCACAATTTTAGACCCTATTTATTTCGTCGATTCGAGTTTTATTATAATAAAAAGCTCTAAAAAACAGTCACATCTATTTTTTTTGTTACAGTAAAAAATTATCATATAAAATCACATCTCAACTCGAATTAAAAACTCAAATTAACGAACTAAATAGACCTATAATAAATGAACAATTTAAAAATAATAAAGATACAAGTTGGCATTGTTCAACTGGGGTAGTTTCATTTTCTACAACCTCCATGCACACAAAACACACATTTCTAGGCTGAGTCTAAAAGTACATCAGAAAACCAATCAAATATGAAAATGGACGAACCACCATATTCAACTTCAAAAACCCAATACTTAGCTGACGTGAACAGAGACTCGCCAATTTGATACGACTGAACCAAACTTTATGAACCTGTATAACAATGCCCAGTAGGAAAACCATTATTCACCTTTTAGTTTTTATTGATTTACCGTTTTAAAACCTGTATGGTTAGTCTTTTCATATTTCCAATAAATCGTCATTAAGACATATATATATTTATATATATATAACAAGTCAGATGGTCGGTATCTGTACAATAATCAAGCCTGTGCTCTCGAGTCGAAGAACTCCCAAAAAGCGTAAGGTTTGTTATTTTAGAATGTGACTTGAATGTAATTTTTAAGTTAAATTTAAGTTATAATTTGAGTTAAAATTATAACTTGAGTTTGTGTTTGGTTGTGTACATTTGAGTTATTAGTATTTTCGTTGTCAACGCATAAAAAAAAATCATCTCAATCAGGATTAAAACGAAAAAATTAATAGCATTTTTAAGAACAGAAAAAATACTGTTTATTAATTTGAGTTCGAGTTTCTGAACTCGAGTTGAAGGGGACACTTGAACTCGAGTTTTAGTCTCAAACTTAAGTTCAAGCTGGAGTTCAAATTTAAAAGAACATGAACTTAAATAAAGTTAAAACTTGAGTTGTCTTTTTTTGAGTTTTTTGAAACACGCCCGTAATAACTCAGAGACACTGATAGCAAGAAAATCTATCTCAATGTCTCTACTAAATCAGTCCTCGAACCATGAATAAGGATGGACTATCATCCTGGGCCCTCACCATAACATAACTACTGCACAATAATCTTGAGAATTTGAGCGCCGACGCCTCTCCACTCTTTTCGTTTTTAGGGTATCACACCCAAAGAATGGTAAACGCCCACCCCTTCTATTAGCACACATTTCTTACTAAGGTGTCCGATTTGCAATTACCTAACCATGCATTTATTCGAAATCATGTCAAAAGTACTCAGCCACACTGCATCCTACAGGATGGGCCCGCTAACATAACATAATATACAATTTCATTTCTTAAAATTAACCAATTAATTAAATAAAATATCACAAAAGCTGAATAATAGAATACCTACCTCGACTCCAGCATAAATGAAGCTTTGTCATTTCCTTCCCCGTAAAAACACAATCCCCTATATATACAGGTTTAGTTCACCCACTCAATCAATAACGGACCAAAATGACATATAAATGGACAGGTGACATAAAAGTAAAACATGTGAGAAGACAACATGGACTCTTGAAATCGGATTTGACAGAAGGGTAATAAAACGACACCTTGAAAGCAATTAGTAACCCAAAAGCCAAGTGGGGGTTGAGCATAAAGATAAAATGAACCAAGAACCACCTCCTCAAGAGGACTAACATAAAACCAACGTAATCAGAACAACCATCATAGTATTTAATGTGGCAACTAAATCACATCAATTGACCAAGGGACGTGAATTAAAAAGATTTTTCATTAATTCGTCAAGTAAATAGTACACACTACTCTAATATCAAACATTTCAAGTTTTCAGACAATAATATCAAAGTTGAATGATGCAACACGTCTTATTCAACATGGATACAAACGTAGCAAAAAGGGAAAATTCAAAGGGAACTGAGACAAATCTCTAGTTGGACTGAATCCTAAAAAAATTTAGCCTAATAAAAGTAGAAAATCTCCACAAACTTTTCAAAATGCCTATCTTAAATGTGTGGAAGAAATTTTACGGAAGTGGTCAACTAGTTCATTCAAGGAAACTTGGCTATATACATAAATCTAGAACTGCACATAAGGTAACAACAACAACAACAACAACAATAATATAGGCATCGTGATGTGGTAATAAGTGAAATATAACAAAAATACAAATAAAGATAAAAATAAATAATTATTAAATAAAGTCAAGCAACCAAAATCATCATGCTCACCAAAATAGGACACTAACCGATCTTATCCCTACACTAAAAGCCTACAAGAAAAATGACAGATAAATCTTGATTCAAATATATAAGAAACCACAACCCAAATGCAATTCTCAGTCCAAAATATATTGTAGAATCCAAAGCAACAACATGGAGAGCACCAGAAATACTCATGAACAACGAAACACGAAACTAAATCATCAAAGTTCACTAAATGATGCAAAAATAAAATCTGGTAGTAATTGAATGTACAACAATAAACGCGCATTCAAGTATATGTTCATACCAAATTAGCTCATAAGAAATAGAGTGCACATTTCAACCAAATGAAAGGAATCGAAGGTTCTTCATTTACTCAAAACAGAATCAAGAAGGTATATTTTCATATTACCCAAACAAGCCAAGACTAAATAATAAACCAAACAATTTACAAGAAAGATGGGAGAAATAAATTACTATATGAACAACCCGAGAAACCAATTCCTTGAAAACAGTCAATAGACCCAACGATTTCATGAACAAAACCATAACTCTTAAGTCAAATTTAGACCCAAAATCAACTTAGAATATTCATGACCAAGGAAGAGTAGAGAAAGAGAAAAACACCTAAAGATTTGGAGGGAAGAAGAACAATGCCCAGTTCAGATTTATGAGAATCGACCAAGACTCAATCCTCTAAGCTCACTCCTCGTCACGCCAGCCCTCTAAGCATGCGATTTTTTCTCTGTCGGCTACTTCTTTCTTCTCCATCGCCGAGGATAGCGTCAATAAAGTCCCCAGCCAATCTCATGGATAAATGATTTCTAAGAGATATCCATTTGTTCATTCCGCAAATTTAAATTTTTAATTTAAATTTAAATTTAAATAAAAAATAATATTTTAAAAAAAAAATTTAACTGTTAGATGTAACATTTTTTTTAAAAATTTTTAATTTTAAAAATTTAAATCAGTTAAATCAACGTGGTGTGATTTTGGTCTCTAGAGTTTAGTATCGGCACTTGGCAAAAGGTAGCAGCAAGAGGGGAAATGGGTAAGATCCTATTTCTTTACTTAGAATGGTGGTTGAATACATAGAAAAAGAAGCAAAGAAAGAATGGGTGTGAAATGAGTGTTAGCGCGGAAGATATGGAGGAAAATATAGGAAATTTAAAGTGGGCCTTATGGATACAATAATTTCAAGCCCAAAACAAAAATGTACTTTAGGACATGTGAATGGTTTTAAATAAAATTAATTGTTCTCAGATAATAAGTAAATTGCAAGAAAAGTATCAAGCAACCATATAAGGTTGGAGCGACAAATTTGAAAAGAAATTACCAAAACAAAATTTAACTCAAATAAAAGTTTCAATTATTATCAAATTAACAGCCGGGTTTTTAATTAAACCAATCATATAAAAATACGGCTTGTTACAATGCCGAAAAGAAAAAAAAAAAGTTATTAGGGATGAAGAGAAGCGTAATACTAAACAGTCAGACGGGACTGTAGCCCAAACGCGTCACTTATATACTTCTCATCACTATGTGATTTGATTGGAACACAATCCGATGGGGGCTAAAAAAAAATTCTTTTAGAGAATTGTCATTGCTATGCCAAACATGCATATATACGGTGCTTCATCAACTTTAATCTATGGTCTTAATCATAATGCAACATCATGGGTTAGCTAGAGATCCTTTTATATTTGGACCCATATTTGCAATGAAAAGTCACTTCAAAGAAAGTCCTAGTTGTGGTTCTTTGTTTCAAACAAGAAGATTACACCACCGTCCTTAAGGTTTAGTGGGGGAGTTGTTGCAGCTAATCACTAACCCTAAGTTAGGCAGATAAGCCTACAACTTTCCACTAGAAAGCAAACGTAGTCCACAATATGGCCTACTTGTAGCACATATCATTTTAAATCTGAATGCCTCAAACGCTGCTTTAAACTAAGGAACTTACCATATATTGCTAATCTTGATAATACGTTTCTGTACTTGCAAACACAATCTAACGGTAATATCACACCTGACTTTATTAGACGGTTAAAGAGTTTGAATTCCTTCACCCTCAAGTTCAAGATGATGATGATGATGCGTTTTCATTCTAATTTGGAGGCAGCTACCATTACTGGTTCATTAACAGGATAATGAGAACTATTACAAATGAAGTTTTGATTTATCAAGTTAAATAGACATAAAAGTGCTTGTTTTCGAATCAGCTCTACATTGTAATAGGTAAAAATACAGGATATAATATGATGTCTGTTATATGTAATAATGAGTTTGAAAAGACTGTAATCTTAGTTTGTGACTGGTGAATTTCGTGTTATTTACACGAATGTTATTGGCGTTGAGAATAAATACAATGAAAACAAGAAAAAAAAAAAAAAAAAGATTTCTTTTTCAGTCAGTTTGTAAAGCCCCATTTTTATTCTCTGCGTCACATATTTCATTTTGGGGTTGTTTCTTTAAAGAAGCATCGGAAATTATTGGGTCCAAGTATCGGCCAGCAGACGAAAAAAACCCAACTTTGTGTTTCCACAGCAGAAAAATACAAACTCTTGTGAACTAGCCCATTTTCACACACCAATTGGACCACCGTCATAAAAGGCTGCGCCAGCTCTATCTACAACAAAACAAGCCCAAAAAGTACATAAGGAAACAATTTTAGCAACTTTACCGTTTTGCACACGTGGGGTCATTTGACACCACAATTCATGGGAAGCTTTATGCAACTGACATGTGCTGGGTGACAAACCTAGGCACTTTTTCGATTAAAAAAAAAAAAACAAATAAATAATAATAATGACATGATGAAAAGCAACAATAACTTGTACAATCTGGGAATCCGAAAGCTATAACCAGAGAAACAAGGGAAGAAGTTAAAGGGCACGAAAAATGAAAGCTATTGGCAATACTACTTGCTTTGGTTCAGTCTTCATAGCTCCTGCTGA